GCATACTTGAGAGAATGAATGTTCTGCAAGAAAAATACAGAAAGCGATTTTACAACAATTGTAGAAAAATACAGAAAGCGATTTTATAACTTTACGATTATAACAATTGTTGTGAACATAATTTAGGAAAATAAAAAAAAGTAAATAAAATCTATCCACCTATTGAATTTTATGTATAATGACAATTCATGCATCCATTTCTGGTTGAGTACATTTATTCAAAAATTTCGGTGTCAATTATCATATTTTATTTGAGTTACATATTGATACGGTTGAGCACTGCAGGTTTATGGTGGGTGCAACACAAACGATAGGGTGATGTATGAGTCATACTGCAGATGTTTAATGTCTGCAGCGCGCTAACGTTGGCCCTCACTAAATACCTGGGTTAAAATAGCAGAATAAAGTTGCTGTGTATTGTAATGATGAATTCTCTATGATCCACAGCATTCACTTACCTTGAGGCGGACCGTATGCTAATTTGTCACCGTTGTGATAGGTAGGCGAAAAAGATGTCCTACCATATTTATTACTTCACAAATATTTTCTCTATTTGCTAAGCTATCAAAATTGTTCAATTTAACTTTCGATAACACGAATTAAAGAATATTGAATTTATTTATACAATTAAAACAATACTTAAATATATTAATAAGCTAGTTATTATGAAAAGAGCCATCTATTTTAAAACGTTGTAACTATTATAAGCACTGCATACAACTCGAGAGAACGAAAGTTCTCCAAGAAAAATATAGACAGCGTTGTGAAAATAATTTAGAAAAATAAATTCTTTCTACTTATTGAATTTTATGTATTTAATTTATTCCAAAATTTTAATGTCCATTTTCAAATTTTAGTGGAGTTATGGTAGAACTACAATGCAGCTTTATTGTGGGTGCAGCACAAATTATGAAAAATATGAGGAATTTGTTTTGGAATCGGAACGGTTACAACGGCTACAAAAAAAAAACAAATTTATGTAGCCATTTTGGCCGCCATTACAGTTACACCGAGTGCGGCAACATCACTTCCGGGACACCTGAGATTTTGAGTGAGATTAAGAGGTTCTATGGGCAACTTATTCCATCACCGGGAAGGCGACCATCTGTCCCAAGAGGTGTCTAATTTAACGTCCAAAAGTCTCTAGTTAACCACGTTAAAAAGATTGGGAGTGTGTCGATAAAGATTGCGTAACTTATACTCAGAATCACCAAACAAAAGTGAAAACTGGCAGCGATCACCGAATGGTTAGACTGAACCTAAACTATAAGTTGGAGAGGTCTCGCCTACTGAAGTCAACGCTCCGTCCCCCTCCTGCTCTAATTTAAAGTCAAAGTTATAGAGCTTCCGAAAATGGAGAGGAAACCGGTACTTAAAATTCTTCAGAAACGTTTTAATTTCGTCTTTCATGGTGGGACTACTTCGGTTGCGTGGAGCAGAAATGCGGTGGTCTTCTTTTCCAAAAAAGGTGACAACGCTCTCTTAAAGTACTACAGACACATTGCTCTTCTGAGCCACGTCTACGTGCTGTTTTTCGTTACGAATCGTCTCGCACGCAGACTCGACGACTTGCAGCCTTCCAAACAATTCGGTTTCCGAAAAGGCTTTAGTACCATAGACCACATACGTACCCTTTGGCAAATTGTACAAAAGACGAAGGAGTACAATCTGCCATTTTGCCTTGCGTATGGGGACTATGAGACAGCCTTTGATTTCGTCGAAATTTGGGTGGTGCGGGCGGTATATCGAAATCCTGAAGTGTTTGTACAATAGGGCCACGATAACTATCTGAGTACAGAACGAGTACGAGAGAGTACGAAACCGATCCAACTGCAGAGAGGTGTAAGACAGTGTGATTTTATATCCCCGAAACTCTTAACCGCTGCATTGGAAGACGTCTTCAAGTTATAGGACAGGAAAGGATACGGTATTAACATCAACGGCGAGTAAATCACTTACCTCGATTTTCCGACGACTTATGACAGAATCCCTGAAGGACGCAAGCACTAACCTGAATGATCTATATATTATTTCCTAACGGACAGGTCTTAAGATGAGCATGGATAAAACAAACATCATGTGTAACGTCCACGTCACACCTATGCCGGTAGTAGTTGGGAGCACTAAGCTCGTAGTTGTTGTAGAGTATGTTTAAGTAGAACAAATAGTCTGACTAGGTAAGTCTAACATCGACCGACAGGTCAATTGACTGATTGAACTCAGCTGGGCAGCGTTACGGAAATTACGACACATTTTCTTGTCATCTATATCTCAGTACCTGAAAACGACATTGTACAACCAGTGCGTGTTGCCTTATGGATCTGAGACGTGTTACTTCACTGCTGGCCATAAGAAGCTGTGGGCAGGACTATGCTCGAGGATTCTCTGCGTGATAAACTTAGAAATGAGGATGCAGAGATGAATCAGAGTGGCCGGCATAGCCCAACGGATTAGTAAGTTGAAGTGGCAATGGTTCGTCCATATAACTCGATAAACTGACATCCGATGGGGAAATGGTTCTCAAGTCGCAGCCTCGTATCGGTAGGTGAAGTGTAGAGCGACCCCCCACTAGATGGAGTGACGATCTGGTAAGACATGCAAGAAGCCGATGGATGCAGGTAGCTTAGGACCGTGCTTTGTGGCATTCCTTGAGGGAGGCCTATGTTTAGCAGTGGACTTGTGAAGGGCTGTAATGATGATGATTATTAGATTAGCCTAGACAGAGAGACAGACAGACAGACAGACGATGGACAGGTTTTTTGTACAAATGGCTTTTCATGTCTTAGTGGCATGCAAATATACCCCTGAGGTCGGTAAAAGGCAGTTATTTAGATATTACAGACAAACACTTTAATTTTATCTATGTGTAAAACCTATGGTACATACGACAAACATAGGACGAACGTAAGATGTAGTTACATAAACTTCGGAAACCACTGTGTTGAAATCAGTGCCGCTCAATAACAAAAAGCCGATTGGAACCAATTGGTACCTCTATACTCCATGCTTCTAATATTACCTATTACCACAGAATAAAATAATAGTAATATTACAAATAAATGGAAATATTATAATTATCATTAATAATAGCGCCATCTATGTAAAATGTTCCTGACTTATAGAAAGCTCTTGATAATGTGGTAGAAATAGGACAAACTTCCTTACGTTTTTTTGCCTCCATCTTTTTAGCACCCTCCACATTCACGCCGTGAACACCTGAGAAAGGCGTGAACAACGAATGTGGATGGCTTTCGCGCCCGTTCACGGGCTTTCCACCTTTTCACTAGCGGTCAAACATAGAAGACTTTGGCGTGCTGGACATAGTATTTGCTTAGATAAAATCCATTTTTTTTTTAGTTCAATGTTTCTTAGTACTTGTGGCTCTAGGAGACTTGTTTTTTATACTCACATGTTGCTGGGTTATTCTTTTTTGAGGGGTGTAGAATTAAAATGCCAGTAATAATTTTCCAATGTCTATATTTCATATTTTTGTGGGCCGAGTTTTTTGTCAACTATAGACGTCGTTGGCGCTCAGGGCCCGCGGGTGCTGGTCACGTATAGACGACTTTGGCGCTCAAAAGGTTAATAAGATTCTTTCCAGCGAGATGTGTTTTGCATACTGTGGTCACTCTCTGTTAATATTTTGTATTCAGTCTGTGTTTAATTGCTGTATGATCTAGTCCTTTGAGTTGTCTGTATCCTAAATATTTATATAGTAGAAGATGTGTCCTTTCATAGCTGTGATTGTGTCAGTACCTAATGTTAATCGTATTTGTTATTATTATTATTATTTTTTAATACTGCATGAACTTATTATATATATTATAACTAGCCACACAAATGTAAGTATTTCTTAATTCTTAATTACTAACTTTAAGGTGACACTAGTCGACATTATTTCCATAGAAAATTCGGAGGGGTTTTACTCCGCTGTTTGACAGTGTACATCCAAAGTTAAACATGATATCGTTTTGTCACATTATTAATTTTGTCTGTACGGAAACAGAATAGTAAAATAAAAAGTCGTTAAAAAGTTACGAGCTACCAAAGATTCGTTTTTATTGCCAATTTTAACACAACTTTGGGTGTAAATTAGTAATAAAAGCAGTGTAAAATTTCCAAAACAAAGTCGGTACCGACATAGCTCAATTATCGAAGAATTCAATAAATTTTATTTGTATATTTACGCGAACTGTATAGTACATGATTAAAACTACTTTTACGGATTTTATCGCGTTTATTTTTACTTTTTATTTACTTTTATTTTTTATTCCCGACGTTTCGGGCGCTTTCCAGCACCCATGGTCACGGGGGACTGAGATGACTCATCTCATAAAATCCGTAAAAGTAGTTTTAATTAATTTTATTTGTAATTGATTTATGCAGTGGTTTTTTCATAAAACCCCTTCTTCCAAAGGCCTTTTCGTATTTTTTTACGCGCGCGTGTTTATATGAATTATCGTGCATCTCACTGAATAATGTTTTCCCCGGTGCGGTGCGGGAGGACGACACTTACCTCCGATAGGAGTAATAGTGTTCTGTGACACTTACACACAAATGCATGCGCGGTGACGCGCGCTTCTAGTTTTATTCGACTCAGTCAGTTGCGGCCTGTGACGTTCGTATGACTATAGCTATACCTGCGCTCTAAATTACTACGCTACATTGACCCTTGCTTGAACTTTGGATTTCGATACTACTCTGTTTGACTTTGCAGTACATTTTTGTTGCAAATTAGAATTGTTGGCTTGAGTGAATTGTTCTGTGGAGTGGACACTGTGCCAGTGACATTGTGTTGATTCAAGAAACAGGTGTGAATAACTACAAATAACCAATGGGTAAGTCATATAATTTGTTAAATCTAATTTATTTAGTGTTCTTACACACGAGCGACACGCGTCAACGACAGCAGAGGCGTTGACGACGGCGCCTTCCACCAGATTAGATTGGATTGTTGGATTTTCTACTCTGGAACTTCTAGAGCCGCGTCTCCACCAAAAATGTTGACAACATTTATGTTTCCAACTGTTGACAAATCAACAAAAGTTGCCAACATTTGTTTCCGAAAATGTTCCAAGAAGCGTCTCCACCGAAGGAACAAATGTTGGCAACAAGTGTATTCCTTTGGTGTTGGCGCCGAAAATGGAAAAACGGTTCCCAATATTGTTTCAAGTTTTGTTGCCAACACTAGGTGATTACAGAAACATTTGTTGGCAACACGTGTTGTCAACTATTGTGTTGGCAACAAAACTTTGGTGGAGACGCACCATAACACGGTAAAAATATCTGTATTGTACTGTGCTTCTGGCAGTCGGGATACCCTATTGATAGGTATGTACCTAGTTCAGAGCCGTGGTAGCTCAGATGGTTAGCGCTCGCTGTAAATTTCACAGTATGCGAGCAAACCGGGTTCGATCCCCGCCGGCACCAATGAAATTGTTAATTGTAAGTGCTGATTTACCACGTGCTCGGCGGTGAAAGAAAACATCGTAAGGAAATCTGCATGTCTGAGGAATAAAAAAAATATTTTCAAAGACATGTGATGTTCGCCAACACGCATTGGGGCAGCGCGGTGGACACTTCCTTGCCGGGAGGCCTGTGCCCAGCGGTGGGACGTATTTAGGCTGTAACTTTACCTAGTTCTATATCGTATTAGGTATCTATATAGGTATATGCTTGTACTAGGATTTCCTCACTCGCGTTCCCGTAGGAACCTATTTACTGCTCCGCCCCCATGATCCCAGTGTTGCATTTTATAGCTTATAATATAACAACTTTTAAATAGGCTACTAACAAAAACAAAAAAGATTAATCTGGTAGGTGCGTTCAAACAAACAACCTCTTCAGCTTTATAATATTACATATAACATAATGCTTACCTATACGTATAATAGATTATTAAATTCTTTTTATGTGACTTTTAATAGTTCTCTTTTTTAACCGACTTCATTACTTCTATGAAATACTAGGTACATAGGTATCTACATTTTTAGAATCCTTACACATCGTTAGAAGGCTGCCTACAAAAATAAATTAATAAACCCATAATTAATAAATAAATAACGGCATAATTATAAATAAAAACATTACTTTCATAAAATAATTAAAAATAGTGTTTTAACTATTTTATAATGTTGTTATTTTTATGGAACAGATACAAAAGATTGGCGAATTGGAAATAAAGGGCGCCTAAAACTATGTGCCCCTCGTAAGAAGTTGAAAAGAACATTGAGGGGATGGTTCATCAATAAAGAAAACATTCCTCCTGTACTGGATACGTCCCAACCGTAAGGATTATTTTGAGTGTTATGATCGCTGACCCGAAAAAAAATCAAATCATTTGATTTTTATCTGCGGAATATCGCTAAATCAACTTAATTTGACCCTGTATAATCCATGTTTTCTTTAGATCAACACAAGATTCATTCGAGCAAAATATTTGTTCAGTGGAAGTACATGAAGCAATGTCTGCACAGTGTCAAAATGTACCTGTAATAAATGACCCTAGTGAACAGATTAGTTCCGATATTCCTCATGTACTGACCACGCACCAATCGTAATTACTTTCATAGTTATATGTACCTACTGTAGTTATTACATTTCTAGGATGATTCGGCCGCTATTACTTCGCCATGCGCTCTAAATCAGAAAATTAGAAATTGTAATTTCTCTATTTGTTATTACGTCTAACATAATTTTTGTTACTCATGTTGTTTTTAGATCACCTCGTGAGTCATTTAAACAAGTCGTCGTGCAAGCCCATGTGCATGAGACTACTTTACGACAAGACAAGGCTTTACGGTGGAAAAATTTACTTTTAGAAAACGATCCTTGCGATCAGACTGGCCCCGGAGACATATCAACTCAAACTTATTGGGATATCATCGAATCAGACGTTGATTTTGCTCGTTACACGCCGATTTCGTAAGTATTAGCCTCAACAGTAAAATCCATTTGTTAGTTTTGCCTAATTATTCTAATTGTGTTATGCGTTTACAGGGCCACGCAGGAAGAATCGATATCAACCACACAAGAATATAACAAATCCAGTGCCTCAGAACCCGATTCAAATAAATACAATTTTTCTTTTGAAACCGACAATTGTGATAACAGTGATTGTGCGAATTTAGAAGGAAATAGAATAGTGAATATTGCTTATCTATTCAATTGAAAAATATTAGGCATGATCCATTTGAATGTAATTTTCAGCACTTAGAATTTATAAGGGAAAACAGAATTGCGTTTTACTCACAATTTGTTTTCAAGTGCAAATTTTGCAACAAAATAGAAAAGATTGAATCTCAACAGTCTAATAAAGAATCTAAAGACATACCTATTAATTTAAATGTAATCGAGGGTATTTCACAAACTGGCAATGGGTGGAGCCAGCTTGATGAGTTATGTGCTAGCTTAAATATGCCTAATATGAGAACTTATTATGTAAAAAATAATCAAAAGTTAGGCATTATCCAAAAAGACATAGCGTTACAACTTATGTTAGAAGCAGGTGCAGAAGAAAGGCGATTTGCTTTGGAAAATAATAATGTTACACAAGGTGTACCATGTGTTACCGTCGTGACAGATGGCTCATGGGCTAAACGTAGCTACGGTACAAATTTTAATTCACTTTCTGGTGTAGGTTGTATAATAGGGCACCGGACAAAAAAAATACTGTACATTGGGATCAAAAATTCATATTGTAGCGTATGTGCTATAGCTCAAAATAAAAAATCCTCAATTCCGGCACATGCGTGTTTTAAAAATTGGTCTGGTCCATCTACCGAAATGGAGACATCGGCCATTGTAGATGGATTCAAAGTATGCATTGATATGCACGGACTCATGTATACCAAGGTAATTGGCGGTGAAGATAGTAGTGTAATGAATGCTCTTAGAGACGCAATGGTGTATGGTCCTAATGTTCACATCAGAAAAATAGAATGCAGTAATCATTTACTGCGAAATTATTCAAATAAACTTAGAAAACTAGGGAAAAAAACTCAGAACAAAGTAGGCTTTGTACCTGTGATTTTGCGTAAAGCGCTTTTAGACAAAATACGACGCCTAAATAACGCAGTTACTGGGGCAGTAGCACACGCGCAACAGCTTGAGCTCGCAACAGCCGACAAGATTAGAATCCTTCAAGAAGACTTACGGAATGGGCCATGCCACGTGTTCGGATGCCATGATTCTTGTAAACAATATTATTGTAAGGGATTAGTAACCGAAGAAAACCTCGTTCCACAACTCAAATCTAGTGGGATATGGAACGATATTTTTGAGAATGTTGGGTGGCTTCTGCAAAATGCGGAAAGCTTGCTACTACAGGAGACAAATAATACAGCAGAACAATTTAATTGTATTATCGCTAAGTTCCTTGCAGGGAAACGAGTTAATTTCACGCGAAGGGAGACGTACGAAGCAAGATGTTTTTCCGCAGTAGGGCACTATAACACAAAAGATTATAGTTTTTTAAGTAAAGTACAAAAGGCAATATGCCCTGAAACGTCGTACTCCTATACAGAAAAGTACATAAACAAAATGACAAATAACTTAGTACGGCAACAAAAAGGAGGGCATTATATAAAACACGCGGTACTAAAAGAGCTAAGCGTTTTAAAACGGCCGATATACACTACAGTGATATAACAGTGCAAGAGCCCGATATGCCACCCGATATTTTTGAAAAAAAGAAAAATGATTTTCTTCTTTCAATAATATTAAATAATGATGAAATTGAAGAATTAGAAAAGAAAACCAAAGCACAATCCAACTCTGATTTGTGGATCGTGGAGCGCAAAAAGCGAATAACCGCATCTCTGTTCTCTGTTCGGCCAAATATGTAAAATGAAGGATTCTACGCCTTCTACTGCGACATTAAAAAATATGTTATATTCTACATTTACACGAGACAACCGCAATTGCAGATTTAGAAATTAAAATAAAACAAAAAGTAACACCATGTGGTTTATTCATATGTATGGATAAACCATACCTTGGTGCGAGTCCAGACGGTCTGTTAGGGGCAGACAGTCTGATTGAAATAAAGTGCCCGTCGTTAGCAGCAGGCTTTACACCTCTGGAGGCAGTACGGCAAAAAAAATACATTTTGTGTGGAAACTTCAAATGGAATAAAACTAAAAAAAACACACATTATTACCAGGTTCAAGGCCAACTAATGATAACAAAAAATTTTGCTATTTTGTTATTTGGACGCCAAATGGCATAGAAATTGATATTATTGAAAGAGATGATGCGTTTTGGACGGCAGACAAAATTTTAAAATTAGATAGCTTATCAGAAATGTGTTTTGTCGGAGCTGATAGATCCCCGTTACCCTCGCAAACTACAATTTAGAGATCGAATGTAAATCAAATTGATATACGCACAGGCAAAAATAGCGGAATATAAATATAATGTTGAAAAAAAAAACGATCTCAAAATTTTATTAATGTTCCGCTAATTTTATCTGTACTTACCTATGTCAATTTGATTTATATTCGATTATAATTATATTCTCAGACGTGCAGGTTTCCTCAATATGTTTTCCTTCACCGCCGAGCACGTGGTAAATCAGCACAATTGCAATTAACAATTTCATTGGTGACGTGACTTGCGAGATGTCAGTGTAACAAAACAAAACGGCCCAGAAAAACAGACTTTCCAACTGATAGCTAAATCAGCACGCAACAATTTCATTGGTGCCAGTGGGGATCGAACCCGAATTGCTCCCGTACTGTGATACTTATAACGAGCGCTAACCATGTGAGCTACCACGGCTCTCAACGATATCGTTCCGTTCGTCTACAGCGCTGAAGATAGCAGAGTAAAAAATTAGAGATTGTGGTGTTTGAAATTTGTCATCTCTGCCCACCTGTCCGCGCAGTAAAAAAAGTTACTGCGCGGACAGGTGGGACGAGAATCACTTGCGCGGCGTGGACGGTTCGGTGGATAGGTACCTACCTACTGTTATTACCTAGATACCCACAACCTACTATACAACAAAATTTGACAAACTGTCGCTGCGTCGTGGACACTAAAATGTAAACTGCCTACTACTGCCTAAGTACGTTGGTACTTAGGAAACAGTCTTGACGGGTCACTTGTCTTGATAAAAACATGTGTTTACATCTAGTGATATTGTGTGTATATAAAAAAAGTAAGAAGACAGTATTTTTGAAAACAATTTATAGGTAGGCAGAACTAATTACAATTATTATCTAAATATTATAAATGCGAAAGTTTGGATGGATAGATGTATGTTACTCAATCACGCCAGAACAGCTGAAGGGATCTGGATGATATTTAGCTCAGAGATAGTTATACCTAGTCTGGAATAACACATTTGATATCGTTTATTCAGGTATTTCATTCCTGTGGGATAATTTTCGAGTTCACGCGTTTGAAGCCGCTGGCAACAGCTAGTACGGATATAAACTGCGATGACTGTTCCAGTTCATGCTTCGGCGTCCTGAACTCTTGAGTGATTGCTGCATGACCACCCGGGGAAAACTAAAGATAATAAAATAAGCAATCTATATTAGGTATCTATAGAGCCATAGAGGTGTAGTATAAAGCGATAACGCAGCGCCTAATAATTTAGTACGAGTTTGTAGGTAGGTACTGCTGATTTCTCAGCAAGCGTCGAGCGGCACAGAATAGGGTGGTATGTATGTGTGCATCGTGTTCGTGTAACTTCGTTTTTGTTCTAACGGTTCGGAACGCCGTACGAACAAGACGTGCGTTCTAACTGCTCTTCACTGATACTATCTCTGTCGGGCACGATGCCAGGTGACACGTGCTTTTTGGCCGCGCCCACCAATGAGTTCAAGCCCGCGACTTGTGCCACCGGGTGTTATGACATTATGAAAGGTAGAGAGAGGTCATATACAGTCATCTATTTTTTAATTCTTAAGATTTTATTTTTATTATGCTATATTTATTTCCTTTCATACATATTACCTATATAATTTTGATGTTTCACATCTGCCAAGCGTGCTGCAACAGCTCACAATGTTTTTTTATTTAATATGGATTATACATAATAATCTATATTGAATTAAGTACTGTCCCATTCGTCTAGTGGTCGTAAACGTGATTGCTGATCATGAGGTCCCAGGTTCGAAGCCACATTCAATCCATATATTTATCTAAATTCATTTTTAGATGAATATGTGTATCTGAGTGATCCTAATATCATTTGCCACTAACAGCATAATTTTAGACTATTAGATGTTAATGTGTGATTCCAATAGTGAACTTTAAGTGCTGATAAAGAAAGAAAGACGAAATATGTGTGCTTTTTTTTTTTGATTGGGTTGGCAACATCATTTCGATATGGAAACATTATTTTGATATGGAGTAGTAGGTTCCCTTACTCCGTCACTACACTACACATCCTAAAACATGTAAATGTTACTTTCCCATTTAAATAAACTATTACTGGGATGACAATTCTACCAATTTATTTATAAAAGTTCTTGAAATTTTATTTTGAAAGTATAGTGATTGCTTACTTTCCCGATTTTGCGAGGGGATTCCAGAGAAGGACAGAATCTGTCCTTCGGAACTGAGAAAAAGGCATGGGCAAAACTTTAGTTCTTTATTATCAGAAAACTTATTTAAACAATGTAAATAAGTTTATGATAAATGAATGTAATTATTAACATCATTGTAAAGATTTTACTTCCCACTTTCACACAAGTGAATCCAAGGGGAAAAAGCTGGGTACCATTATACTCATTTACCTATTATATTGTTATAGGATATTCAGTAAGAAATACACCTTTACAAGATATTACAAATACTAGTATACACCAAGTTGATGATATTGAACAAGGAGTTGCATCTGCGTCTACTTTTGATGCCAATCTTCAAAATGTGACTGGTAGAACATTTCATTCATCTACAAGTCTGCCTATGTTCAAAGGTGGGTAATTTAAATTATTTTTTCTCTCATAGTTGTACCATAGTCAACAATCAAGTTCAGCTTTAATATGAATATGAATTAATAAGTTAAGTTTACTTTACAAAAATACCTTACATAACCAAGCTGGATCATAGACTATTATGACATTATTAAGAAAAGTTATAAAAAAGTAAAGTAAAGTTACAGCCTATATACGTCCCACTGCTGGGCACAGCCCTCCCCTCATTTCTGAAAGGGTTTTA